AGTTTGCCTCGATACGAAATAGCAATGCAATATAACGTGACCACATTTTTCACATTTTAAAAAACTTAGTAGCTCAATGAGTGGCAATATTGATTTAATGAAGCCGATTTTACCAAGCATATGCTTGGGCCCTTTTAGGGGCATGCCAAATGTTTTTCAAGGATTGTTTAAGTGATGCAAATCTGGATTCATTTAATACTTGTTTTTCAGCTATAGAACATACTTGTATTACTGCTATCAAAAATTAAAACTTTGTGTTTGTTTCATGCATGTACATTACATTGTGGACTGGGATTCCACAGTGACTGAGTATAATTTATAATGAGTATGGAGTCTTATCTCTCCTAATTATCTGTTCTATGTGCCCTTATTTATAAACAGAAGCTATCAGTAGTAAGTTTTTTGATCTCTAGAAGGAATTATTTTACATATAGATATAGACAAATGTTTCCCCAGTGATGGTCTTCGAATGAAATCAGCATTTCTTTTATATAAGTTGGTATGATTTCATTCCTAAATACTTCTATACTACTTAGAATCTAGGCTAAGGGAGTAGAGGGGTAGGTGAGACCAAGAGATACTGGTACGGTAAGCTCTTGCTAAGCATTCAATGAATGAATGAATGATAGATATATATAGAGATTGAGATTGTATGTGTGTATGATAAAAATTAAAAATAAGTCAGATTTAAAATTTATGTGTATAAGGAGCCTTCAGAAAATTGTGAAAAAATGCATATTGTGAAAAAAACTATGCTTGAACTTAAGAGTTTTTATCCAGCTACAATTTCCCAGCTGTCTTCAAGTGACCAACTTTGGTATTCCTACATACAAGTGTACTGACAGAAAGAAAATCATACAGCCTTATTATATCTCATCATTCTGTATCAACATGGGTAGTCAGACCCATGCAATAAATTTGACTTCATTTTAAATATTTCACCATCTGTATTAAAAGATACAGCAACATAGTACCTACCATTGCCGTAGGTGGGCTGTGTCTTTGACAATCTGTGAAAACTTTCAGTTTAGACAGCTTATATATCAGGTGGGAACAAACTTCAAGCTGACCTATCATGATGCCCTGAAAACGCACCTAGTGGCATGGAAAGGGCTTGAAACATTCATGGTGATAGTAAGACTTGGAACGGCGCAGAAGGCCTAACTATGTCACAGCGCTCAAATACTTGAGGTTGAGTGGAAGGAAGGTAGATGACAGCATTGAGGTGGGAAGAAGGTAGAGTGGCACCCAGGAAGGTGGGATTGGCCCTGGCGTGTGCAGTTCTGTTGTAGAAGGGCAGCAAAGCAGTTCTTTAAGGAACAGGTCCTCAGAGGAGACCCAGGACCACTTGCATCAGAATCACCTGATGTGCTTGTTTGAATTTCTGACTCTAGCTTAGTCCTAATCAAAAGTGGCAGCTACAAAGAGTGCATTTCTGATAGGGTCCTCAGGTGATTGTGACTGAAAGTGAAGTTTGGGATCCACGAGTGGGAAGCTGAGACGATGCCAACCCGACCTCCTAGCTGCAGGTGTTGAGTAGTCCTCTCTGCTTCAGGGCTAACTGTAGAGAAGCAGGCAGTCACCATGAGAAGTCAGAGGTGCTGTTGTGTCCGTGCAGTGGAGCTGGGATAAAGAGGCCTGCTCTAGTAACAGCTTTTCTTCGGGCAGCTAGTCTCCTTGCAGAAGACAAGGAGAACGTAGAATTAAAAAACTCAGGCAGAAGAGCGTTCCTAGTAATTACAGAAAACTTGGAGGGCCAGCGCCGCGGCTCACTAGGCTAATCCTCCGCCTTGCAGCGCCGGCACACCGGGTTCTAGTCCTGGTCGGGGCGCCGGATTCTGTCCCGGTTGCCCCTCTTCCAGGCCAGCTCTCTGCTGTGGCCAGGGAGTGCAGTGGAGGATGGCCCAAGTCCTTGGGCCCTGCACCCCATGGGAGACCAGGATAAGCACCTGGCTCCTGCCCTCGGATCAGCGCGGTGCGCCGGCCGCAGCGCACTGGCCGCGGCGGCCATTGGAGGGTGAACCAGCGGCAAAGGAAGACCTTTCTCTCTCTGTCTATCTCTCTCACTGTCCACTCTGCCTGTCAAAAAAAAAAAAAAATACTTGGAGAATCCTTACAGATTTTTGGTTATTACAGAATATGCTTTGAGAATAATTTCTTTATCCAAGATTTCTCCTCCTAATTCTAAGTAAAAGAAGATGCATTAATAAATCTCTAGTTCTGCTTACATATCCCAGTATTGTACATCTTATTTTTAAAGATGTTTATTTTAAAACAAACTTGCTGCTGAACATTTTCTGTTCTTTTTGTGTTGATTCTGTACTAGCTTTAGTTCACAAGTATATTACCATGCTAAATTATAAGCTCTAAAATTTGCAGTTTTAGTGTCATTCTTACTCTAATCTCTATTAAATTATGCAAAATGGAGGCAAGTTATTTGCATTCAAAATGAGTGTTCTTTCACAGCTTTGTGAAAGCTGTTTCTACAAATATTTGTATCATTTAAAAGAGACTGAACATATGCATAAAACTTATTTGGAGCTTTTCCAAAAGCATTATATTTTGTTTTAGCATAATTATTTGGAAATATATTTTTAAAACTATTAAATACTCTATTATCATCCTAATAGCTCAAATAGAATTTGACTTCAGATTTATTCCCTTTTGTTGTATAATTTTTAAGCTCTGCCTTGCAAAATCTTAAAGTTTTAGGGTAATGTCATTGACATAAAAATGGAAATTAGTGGTTTTGAGTTGTTGGCTCTGGTTGGACTCATTGTCTCTGAAATTCATTCTGGAAACTATAGAAGTAAATGCAATAGCAAGTATATAAAAAGTTACAAGACTAAGTACAATCTTAATCTGAGACACTTTAAAAAATCTGAAGATTATGTAAAGGTGCATTTTATATTTTTTTGTGAACTATGAGGCCCTATGTGTTCTATTACTTAGAGAATGAGTATTTTGCAAAAGAACATTCAACAAGCTCTTAAATCCTGAGTGTTATCCACAAGTTATCCATTCCTCCCACACAGCCCCTGCCATTTTGTGTCACACATAACTGCCAGAGCTCTTTCAAAATGATGGTCCTCTTCAGAATTGGAGTGGACCCATTTGTTATCCTTTGAGTTAAGCTCCTGTTAGTAGCAGTTTAAGAGTAGGAAGGGCTTAGTGCTTTTCAGATTTTGCCACTGTGTTAGCTAAAGGACAGAGGTACTTTGTTTCGTTTAGTTTCTTGTTTTGGAAGACTTTCTAGCCAGTAAAGGACCCTTGGCCAGCTGCTGCAGGGTTTTGAGTGAGATGTAGTATCCTTACCACTAACATTGTCTGTTTTAGAGGCTGCACGTGACACAGTGGAAGATGTTTCCATAACTGCTTAAAAATTTAGGTACTCAGTCAGCTATTTGTCATATCTACTTTTTAACCCATTAGCTCTCCTTCCCCAAATTGCTCTACTATGATCTTTTTTCCAGGAATTTACAGAGTATTCTGTTGCAGGAAAATGATTCCAGTGAGCAATGTTCTTGCAGATAGTTCCAAGGAAAAGAAAACACAACTATCTCAGACCTACATATTATTTAAAGTTGGCTTTTTATTCTTCCTATTTTGAGAAATGCCTTTGACGCTTTTTCTTGAGAGCTGTTATCTTCACTGAAACATAAGCTCTGAAAAGCTGTCAAGACTTAAGCAAGGCAACGTCCAAGGGAACCATTCTAAAAATAGTTGATCTTAATAATCAAACTTGGAAAGTTTAAAATTGGACCTAGCATTTGAGACATTAGATTGGGACATGCTCATATCATATCAGAGTGCCTGAGTTTGAGTCCTGGCTCTGCTTCCAATTCCAGCTTCCTGCTAGTGCACATCCTGGGAGAAAGCAGATAATGTCAAAAGTAGATGAGTTCCTGCCATCTACAACGGAGACCTGATTGGTTTCCCAGCTCCTAACTTTCCTGGCTGGTACAATTATTTGGGTAATGAACCAGCACTTGTGAGTGTACTCTGTCTCCCTACCTGTCAAATAAGATATTTTTTAAGTAAGTTAAAAAAAAAAAAAAAAAGATTTTGGCCGGCGCCGTGGCTCACTAGGCTAATCCTCTGCCTTGCACACCAGGTTCTAGTCCCGGTCGGGGTGCCAGATTCTGTCCCGGTTGCCCCTCTTCCAGGCCAGCTCTCTGCTGTGGCCCGGGAGTGCAGTGGAGGATGGCCCAGGTGCTTGGGCCCTGCACCCCATGGGAGACCAGGATAAGTACCTGGCTCCTGCCTTCAGATCACCGCGGTGTGCCGGCTGCAGTGCGCCAGCCGTGGTGGCCATTGGAGGGTGAACCAATGGCAAAGGAAGACCTTTCTGTCTCTCTCACTATCCGCTCTGCCTGTCAAAAAAAAAAAAAAAAAAAAAAAAAAGGATTTTATTTATTTACTTGAGAGGTAGAGTTACAGACAGTGAAAGAGAGAGACAAAGGTCTTCCGTCCACTGGTTCACTACCCAGATGGCTGCAATGGCTGGAGCTAAGCTGATCCGAAGCCAGGAGCCAGGAGCTTCTTCTGGGTCTCCCCATGTGGATGCAGGGGCCTGAGCACTTGCGTCATCTTCCACTGCTTTCCCAGGCCATAGTAGAGAGCTGGATCGGAAGTGGAGCAGCCAGGTCTCGAACCAGTGCCCATATGGAATGTTGGTGCTGCAGGTGGAGGATTAACCTACTGTGCTACAGTGCCGGCCTCAAATAATATATTTTTTTAAAATACAAAGTAACTAAAAATTGAGTATAAAGAAGGTTCTCTTTGTGATTCTAAGGGCTCTTCAGAAACAGTATATGGTTGACGAGAATGTTGTCCTGAGCTAAGAGGGTTTAAACTGATGTTCTGAATGAGTGAAATGGAATAAAATCTGTTCATCTGTTTTGTACAAGAAAGAAATTACAAGTTAAGAGCTTACTTATGTTAGAGTGTTTAAGCAAGTTCTAAAATAATGATTTTACATAGTTGTTCTTTAAATAGATCTTTTTAAAGCACATCAGCTAAAATGAGTTCTGAATCTTTAGTCAATTGCTTATAACTATTTACGTTTACTCTACATTATGATTAATTTGTTTCTTGAAACTTAGCCCGAACTATATTGCTCGTAGTGAAGTGGCACATTTCCATGTCCTAGTTTTCTCATCTCTAAAATGGGAGTGATAGTAGCACCTAGAGTCTTACTGTAAAGTGTCAGTGAGATAATATACATGCATATAGTTCTTGCCTTGAATAGTGCCAGGGTAGATTAATTTCAGTTACCACAGTATTGAAGTAACACAGGTTCCCCAGTGACACAGGTCACTCTCCTTTGTTCAGGACTCTGCTCACCTTTTACCTGCTTCCATATCTAAAGTAGCAACTTTCGGGGCAGGCACTTGTTAAAGTAGTTAATATACTGCCTGGGACACCCACATCTCCTATTAGAGTGCCTGGGTTCTAGTCTGGCTCCTTTTCCTGATTCCAGCATTCTGCTTATGCACACCCTAGGAGGCATCAGGTGATCCCGTAAGTACTTTGGTACTTGCCACCCATGTGGGAGACTAAAATTGAGTTCTGGACACCTGGTTTCAACCTGGCTCACCCCTAGTTGCTGTAGGCATTTGAGGAGTAAACAAGCAGATGGAAGATTGATGTCTCCTACTCCTCCCTCTCATGTGTGTGTCCCCGTACCTTACCCTCCCTCGCTTCCTCTTTTTCTTTTTCAAATAAATAAAATATAAAAAGTAGCAACCTTTGCCTGTCACTTTTTTTTAATCCCTCTTATTCTGCCCTTTAGAAAAACACTGGAAACCCGTTTTACTTGTTTATTACTTGTTTACAGCACCTGAGACACGTTGTTAACCATCGGTCTCCTCCCTCACTGCCTCCTCCCCTTAGAATGTGAGTCTGCATGGGCAGGGCTGCATTTCCTTCACTGCTGGATCTGCAGTGCCAGAGCAGTAACTGTCATGAAGTTGGTGCTCACTGGATGCTGGTTCAGTAAGTGAATAAATAAATCCTTTATGTTCCACAGCTTCAGCAGCGATGTCTCCTCTTCTGTTCGGTTATTAGGAGCTTAGACCATTCTAAAATTCCTCTGATACTTACTGACTTGGAACATCACGTTCAGCTTTTATGTTAATATGTATCTCAACTCTCTAGTGAAATGGCAAAGACTATATTTTTTCTATTTCCCAGAAAATCTTAACATTTGGTAAGAGTAGCAGATACTCATTAAATTACATTTTAAAATGAGCCAGTTGCATCTTCTTAATCTATGTGGTGTTGAGTCTTAAATCCTTTAGTTTATTCAATAAATTTGGTCATTCATTCAACAAATATTTATTGAATGCCTGCTATATCTCAGGTACTATTTCACATGCTGGGCATATAGCAATAAACAAAATAGGCAATAACTGTTCTCATGAAACCTGTAATTAGTAAAAGGAGCCAAATGAAACGGGGATACACATAGATGTGTCACTCATGAAAACTGCTATGAGAAGAGTAATTAGGGTTAAGGCTGTTGGGGGATGCTGTTTCAGGTTGTCAGTAAAGGACAGGTTGCTCCAGTAAAGGAGCAAGCCCTGGGAATTTCTGGTGGAGGAGCATTTCAGGAAGGAGAAACACCAAGTGCAGAGGCCCTAGAACAGGTAGGTTTAATGTTTTAGAACCAGCAGTATGGCTGAAGCAGAGTCAGCAGTCTGAGGCCAGTGGGAGATGAAGTCAAATCGTGTAATCCTTTGAAAACAGGTAATAGTTTGGGTTTACTGCAAGTAATATTTGGGGCTGTTAGAAAGTTTTGAATAGAGGGTGACTGATATTTGAGTAGGGGATAATTTGGGTTGATATATGGGTTTTGGAATGTGTGTCAAGGATAGAAAACAGGAAGGTCAGTTGGGAAACCTTTGGAAAAACCCAAGTGCAATGTGAGTCTAGTCTAGACCAGGGTGGTAGCAGTGGACTAGAGAAATTTAATTTCATCCTGGATGTATTTTGAGAGTAAATCTGGTAGGATCTGTTGATGGTTTGGCTATATGAGAGAAAAAGAAGAACTAGAGATAACTCACAAGATTTTTGGCGTGAGCAGTTAAATGGTATGAATTGAAAAGGGCGAGAGCTATAGCTGTTTTTGTTTTTTGTTTTTTTGACAGGCAGAGTGGACAGTGTGAGAGAGAGACAGAGAAAGGTCTTCCTTTGCCATTGGTTCACCCTCCAATGGCCGTCGCAGCCGGCGCGCTGCGGCCGGCACACCGCACTGATCCGATGGCAGGAGCCAGGTGCTTCTCCTGGTCTCCCATGTGGGTGCAGGGCCCAAGGACTTGGGCCATCCTCCACTGCACTCCCTGGCCACAGCAGAGAGCTGGCCTGGAAGAGGGGCAACCGGGACAGAATCTGGCGCCCCGACCGGGACCAGAACCTGGCGTGCTGGCGCCGCAAGGCGGAGGATTAGCCTAGTGAGCCGCAGCGCCGGCCTATAGCTGTTGTTTTGTCTGTTTGGGAGATTTCTTGAAATCAGCCAGTTTTGGACATGTCAAGATTGAAATGCCTATTTGATCTCCATGTGTGTGATTAGATATATTGGAGTTAAATAGAGAGGCCTGGGTAAGACACATGCATTTGGGAGTTCCTAATATGTAGGTAATGTTTAAAGCCAGAAGACTGAATATGACAGGAGGAAAAAACAAGAAATGCTCTGACTGAATCCTGAGCACTCCAGGAGTGGGAGGATGGTAGCTGTGGTAGAATCAGCAAAGAAGGCTGTAAACACATCAGGTGACATAAAAGGAAAATCAAGATAAGTGTCTTTCTCTTTCAGGAAGCCTAAGATTGAAATGTAATAAGGGAGGCTGATGCTGTGGCCTAGAGGGTAAAGCTGCCTCCTGCAGTGCTGGCGTCCTGTATGGGCACCAGTTTGAGTCCTGGCTGCTCCACTTCCAGTCCAGCTCACTGCTAATGACCTAGGAAAAGCAGTGGAATCAAATGCAGTTTGATAAGTCAAAAATGATGAGAATTTGACCATTGATGACTGGATATGACATCGATGAGGTCTTTGGTAACCTTAACTCTAAGACCTTAATGGTTATTCATTCAAAGTCCCCCGTGGAAATCGAGTAGATGCCTAGGCAGCATTAGTGATCCGCAAGAAAAACCCCTGTTAGACACGTACCAGTTTTGAAAGACTGTGTCTGTAAGTCTGATTCTGCAGAGTGGAAAGCTCAAAATGTTAGGAAGCCCTGGATTTTAAAATCATAACTATACTCTGTATGATGAAGTACGGTATTTAAGAAGGAAGTTTTGGGGCCAATATTATGGTGTAGTGGGTTAAGTGGTAGCTTGGGATCCTGGCATCCCATATGGATTTGCTGGTTCAAGTCCCTGCTGCTCTGCTTTTGATCCAGCTCCATGCTAAGTGTCTGAGAAGGCAGTAGATGATGGTCCAAGTGCTTAGGCCCCTGCCATTTGTGAGAGACCTTGGTGAGCTTTCCAGGCTCCTGGATTTGGCCTGGACCAGCCGCCACTTTTGTGGCCATTTAGAGGGGTTAACCAACAGATGGAAGATCTCTCTTCCTCCCTTCCTTTCCCTGCCTTTCAAATAAATAAGTGAATACATAAATAATATTTTTTAAAAATTTCCAAGACATATCTTTAAATGCATCACTAATTCGTCATTTGTTGTTAAAAGCCAATAAGAACTGTTCATAGATTCTGATTATGAAAATTGGGTAATTCCTCATACCCACATCACAGGATAAAGGACTTTTAATAGGGAATGTAATGTCTTAAAAAAAATCTCTTTGAGACATAAGACCAGTATTTTTGTTTTTCTATACAAAAAACTTGTTAGTGTATCTCTTTGGAAGAAGGAGTTTGAGTTGGATTTAATCTATAGTAGTTGTGCAATCACATGTCTCAGGGTCTAGAATTCCTTAAAATCCTGAGTGCTGAATGTAGAGTGGTGGTCCAATACCTCAGCTTGTGGCTTTGAAGATTTTCAGAAGTGTTTCAGTGACTGAAAGACAGATCTAACTCTTAATTTCTGTTGAACTGCACTTCTTTATTTATGAAAACATCTCTAAACAGATACATTTGTAATGAAGTTCATGATTGTCCAGCTGGCCTTGTTCCTCTCCTTTTTTCTTTATTGTTTATATATTCCTTTTTATATGAAGCTTACCACTTTCCCTTTAAAGTATGTCTTTCCTACTTTTTTTATATCTTTTTTCATACAGCTTCTGTTAAAAATGTGATTATTTAATACACTGTGTATACACTTTAAGCTCAGACCTCTCAAACTTGTAACCTCTGTTTATTGCTAAAGTCATTGGCTATCATGTTAATTACATGATTGTTTTCAGATAGAGGCATGCCCTAACTTCATTAAGATGACATTGTAAGTGAATCACTAAGGGTGAGAATGCTTGAAGATCTCGTATATCTAGGGTGGTAAAGACTTTGGTGTATTCTACTGTCTTTGACACTCAAAAAATAAAAATCATCCTAAGTGATATGAAAACACATTCTTATATACCATGTAATGCTCAGTATTAAGAAACCAATCTTACATTGCTCCAACTTTTAATCTCCAGTGAAGAGTTATGTTTACAAGTTGGGATAAAGGAGAAGGAAGTTAATACTGGAAGTGCCAAAAGTTATACTGTATACGTTTTGTATATTGTCTGTGAGGTAAGAATTATTACCCCTTAACCTCCCCCATATTATAGTAAAGAAACTCAACAAATCAGGGAACTTGCATGGGATCATGTAGCAATGAAGTGACGGAGCCAGGATTCAAACTCGGGTTTATCTGTCCTGACTCTAGAGCCCATGCTGCATCCATTATAACACATGACCTCATTAAGTCATCGCAAATTATTATTTTAAATAATGGTGTATTTGGAATTAGAGCCAGTTCTCCAATGTTTTCATTGCTATTCAAAGTCCTAAACAATCTTGTTTGCTTTCTGAAACTCTACTGTGTATCTCCTAGTCCAGAAAGGGTATTGAAATGCAGCCAAAGAGTAGGTAGTCAAGATTACCTTGAACCTACCAGAATGTGCATAGTTTACACACTAAAGTCAATAAATGTTTTACTTTCAACTACCATTAATACAAATCAAGCAAATTTGCTATTCAAAACTGTAACTTTCTAAATGGAGGCTAAGTTTTCTACTTTATTATCTCACCTTCTAATTCAGTTACCCCAACTCTCACCACGGACCATTAGCTGTCTTGTTAGGAGAGCATAATTGTGGGCCGGGTGCTGTGTAACACAGTAATGCCTGCCCATGGCTTCTTACCCAGTCCTCCCTCGGATTTTTCTGTTAGGTTGAGAATACATCCTTCCTTGTCCCCATTCTTTTTCTCTAACATTCTGTATCATTGATGTAAGTCAGGATCCCTTGCACACTGAGCATTCCCTCTTCTGAATTCTTAAATGCATTATAAGTCAATGCATACCTTCCTGTTGATGTATTGTCTTCAACTGCTGATTAAGGTCTGTCTGTCTTAGGTAAAACAGTACAAGAACACTTCAAAAATTTGTGGAAAATGGAATTAAAAGATGGGTTTATTTTAGTGCACAATTTTTTCATAATACACATTTTCCCTGAACTTTTTGAAGACTCCTTCAGTATATGATTTCAAAAAACTTCTGTACCAAAATGAACTTTGCTTTAAATTCATTTTTTTCCCCACAAACTTTTTGAAGCACCCTTATATAACTCCCTTCTGGAGAAATAACCCGTGTCTCTACTGAAAACTTCTTACCATACCATTATGTTGAAAGAGGTATGATGGATTAGTTAAAAACATGCTATGAGTTTTATATCTTTATACTCTGAAATCTGGTATCTTGAACTGTGATCAGTGCAAAGATTTAGCTTCATCATTGGCTATATTAGAAGTTGTCATAGCCCTAACACTCCTGTGAAAGTTCAACACAGGTAAATAGAACAGTGATTATATTTTTAGACTTAATGCCTTACTTCATTTCAGCTTACTTTTCATAATAAGCTGTAGTCATGTGACCAGGCCAGTTTTAAGGCTGTTATTAGTATGGTTGCATCATGTAGAGCCACCAATCTGTAGCCTCAGCTTGGATTATTGGTGATGGCAGATGGAGTCGCTTGGCCTGTCTGCCTGATCATTGCCAAGCCCTGAGATTTAATTTACAAGTTCTGGACAGGATTTTTTAGAATATACTTAACATTGTGCCTTTTAAAGAACATTGTGCTTCTTGGCTTCCTATTTTCACACTGTAAGAATCAAATATGGAATATTATGTTTATTATAGCTGGGGTTTCATTACATACTAATTTGCAGTTAAGGCTGACTAATAGTAGTTTAAGCCAGAGCAAAAGATTTCATTTCCCTGGCCCTGATTGAAGTCAGAAATGCCCAGGTGACGAAGCTCACCTTGAAATTGAAGGAAAATAACCCCTGAAATGAAGGATTTGTTTGTACTGACCTTTAGCCAAGCTCATCATGTTGATATGTCACAGGCTACTTTTAAATATTAGAAGTGGCATTTTAGTGATCTGAACTCTGATCCTTAAAAATAAGTTTCCTAATGCTTCAGTAGATTAAGCAGTTTTAATTGAATTTTTGTATCTGCCTGCTGCTTGTTCCTTCCAGTGTGTTGTATTTGATGTGCACTCCGTACCCAACAGCAAATCTTGCTGTGTTTGCTGAAGTGCTGAGCATGCATCATTGTGAATGCCATGACAGTGTAAGGAAATACTAAGTGGTAGAGAGAAACCTAGCTGAAGATGTGCTTAAAAGGAAGCAGTTATTCTGAACTGTTAATGTGATGTGGGATTTTTTTCACAAAGATTTTTTCTTTTATTCAAATGTTGCTAAGGATTTGAAGCGTTCATTACCATCTGGACTTGGTCTCTCAGAAACCCAAATTACATCTCATGGCTTTGACAGTACCAAAGAGGGGGTTATTGAAGCAGGAGCGTGTCAAGGTAAGAGCCCGTATATTTGTAAAGGTGGCGGGATGGAGGATGGGAGAAGTTCACCAAGTGCTACTTTTATTAATGAAGCGCAGGAGCTGAGCCCTTTAGTTGTGTGATGAGACACTGGTTGATGCTGATTACCTGCTTTCCTGCTGGAAGTCTGGAGTCTTGCTGTGTGCTGGATGGACAACGATGGCTAGATGAGCTGTCCCCAGTAGAGAGCCCGGGCCTCGAGTCTTGGGGAGCATCCCTGGCTAGCAACGTTTCACTTAGTGTTGTCACAACTCTTAAATGGGAAGAATTAAGCAATTCCGACACCAAGTAAAGATTCTTAGAAGGTTATGCCTAACAATAACAGGCCAATGGTCATAATTTCACTGGTTGTTATTTAGGAAGTGATTTTAAAATACTAAAGTAAAAACTTAAAAATTGTGTCAACACTATAGCATTTAGATTATTCTATCTTGGAACCACAGAATTGATAACTCTAAAATGACTTTGTATAAACAGAGATCTCAAAGCAAATAGGAGGTGTCCTTTGATTATGCTGCATAGCAGGGCTCCAAGACCACGCTCAGATTTCCTGATTTGCCAGCAGCGCTGACAGGAGGACTCAGGGCTGCTGTTTACTACATGATGAATGCCCTGCACAGTCAACAAAGGCAACAGTTCAGGAGGCAAACTCGGGGGAAAACTGAGCCTAATCTACTAAGAATCTCCTCCTGCTAGAGTCGGTCAGGAACTGCTTCATTCTTCCCAGCAACAAGTTGTGATAAGTAAGATGTTGCTAACCAGGGAAGCTCCTTGCAAGATGCCAGGCCTGGGGTGTTTACTGGGCGCTTTCATATAGGCATCCTCTGTCTAGCTCTCACCAAGTCTAGACTTCCAGAAGAAAGCAGGTGCTCAGCCCAAACCACATTGTTTGTATAAACAGTTTAGTCACAGTGAGCCACTCTTAATCATTGTGGGCGTGGAGGGAGTCCTCCCAAAGTGCAGGTTCCCAGGCCACAGAGCAGAGCTCTCTTAGAACAGGCAGTTGTAGGGCAGCCATTTGGCACAGCTTTTAAGACCCTTCTTGGGATGTCCACTTCCCGAGTAGGAGGGCCTGGGTTTGAGCCCCAGCTCCGCTCCCCATTCTAGCATCCTGCTAATGTATACTCTGGGAGTCAGTTCTGCCACTCACATGGAAGACCCATTTTGGATTCCAGCTCCTGCCTTCACCTCCCGTAGCCAACCTTGTAGGTATTTGGGGGACTGGACAAGTAGATGGGAGAGCTCTGTCTCTCTGATAGTTTCTGTGTCTGTCTCTCTCTGCCTTTCAAATAAAATAAGTAAAACAATAAAAATATGCAGTTAGACCTATGCATAACTGTTTTCTATACACATCTCATATATATACTCATGTCTGTTTTTAATAAAAGGGGAAAATATGACTTTTTAAAAACACTCTTTCCTGGCCGGCGCCGCGGCTCAATAGGCTAATCCTCCGCCTAGCGGCGCCGGCACACCGGGTTCTAGTCCCGGTCGGGGCACCGGATTCTGTCCCGGTTGCCCCTCTTCCAGGCCAGCCCTCTGCTGTGGCCAGGGAGTGCAGTGGAGGATGGCCCAGGTGCTTGGGCCCTGCACCCCATGGGAGACCAGGAAAAGCACCTGGATCCTGGCTCCTGCCATCGGATCAGCGCGGTGCGCCGGCCGCAGCGCGCCAGCCGCGGCGGCCATTGGAGGGTGAACCAACGGCAAAGGAAGACCTTTCTCTCTGTCTCTCTCTCTCACTGTCCACTCTGCCTGTCAAAAAAAAAACAAAAAAAACACTCTTTCCTGTAATAACTTAATTTTTTTTTTTTTTTAATTTGAGGGGCAGCCACAGGAGAGAGTGAGTGAGCACTCATCCACTGGTTTATTGCCCAGATACCCACAATGGCTGACTGGACTGCACCAGGCCAGAGCTGGGAACTGGGAACATAATCCAGGTTTTGTATGTGGGTGGCAGAAACCCAATCACTGGAGCCATCACTTGCTGCCTTCTAGAATCCCCATTAGCAGGAAGCTGATTTCAGAGCTGAGCTGAGAGAAAACAAACAAGAATATTCACCACTAGGCCAAATGCCCACTCCTGTAGTAACTTTTCATTTTTACATGAGCAAAAGAATGTAAAACCATGTAAATATTTGGGTGTGGAAAAATAGATAATTTTCTTGATAGAGGTCTTATTAAAATATGTAATGTTCAGCTGAGTATATTTTAATACTACATTTTAATTTAACAGAATGAAAAATGATCCCTGTGCCTGTGCAATTCTTAGCCATCTTGCAGATAATAGTGTTCTATATTTTTATTGTAGTATTGGCAAATGCTGTATTCAAGAACAATTTAAATTTTGAAATGTGTTCTTCAATATACAAATCCTGGAAACAGGCTAATCCAGTAGGATTTCTTATACTGTGAAATGGGCTATCTAATGACAAAATTTTTTCACTGTTCATTCTTATTTTTTAAATAAAGCTATGGTAGTGGAAATTGAATAAATCAAGGTCAGAAGAGTGAAGTGTGCTTGGCACCTGGGTTTTGTTTTAATGGGAGCTTTGGTCATTGAATACACATTCATACTCCTAAATTTCTGTCATTGACATGAAACAGAGCTGATTCTCCAGATTTAGTCAATTAGCAAGATCTTGGCTTTTTAAGAGTTATTTTTTATTGGGTATTGGTGAATGTAACAACTAAATTAGTAGTTTAAAGGATTATAATATTGAAGAAATAGAGAAGTGATCATTACTTTTGGAGGTTAAAATAAAAAAGCTACAGGCCTAGTTAGCCTCAGCACCAGATCATTTGCCATTTTAGTTTGGGAAGTTATGTACCATTTGTGTTATAGATTAGACACCTCTCATGTTGTGCTGTGGTGGAAGTTCCTAAATAAGATTAATAGATTGTAATAACTAGAGCAATAGAGCGCTGTTTCTAGGGTTATGGAGATGTTGAACTATGGTGGACTTCATTTATTTAACATTTCCTTGTAGAAACCTGGGTGCCTTGGATAATAGAGATACAGTTGTTCCTTAAATGGTGGACTAGATACCACTTAAAATACCTCTCAATTCAGTGAGTAACTTACGGATTAGTATTTTCTGTGTTGAGTTTAATAACATATCGTAGTGTGGATTCAGAACATCTGAATCTCTAATAAGGAATTGCTTAGCCTTGCTGAGCCTCGTGTTTCTTACAGTGTAATGTGAAAGTTTAGTCTATCAGATGTTTGAAGGTTATGTGAGATCCAATCCAAATTAAGGTGACTGATTCTACACCAAAATGTAGTAACTAAAATATGGCCAGTTATTATTAATTATAAGAGCGTAGGTTTGATTCTTTCCCATTAGACAATTTAGTTATGAATTTGATACATGTTTTCTAGAGAACTGGGGAAAGAAAGTAATTGAAGTAAAAGTACATTGCAGACATCAGAGCATCCTCAGCTCAATGTGAAAGGACTCTCCGGAATCTTTTCAACTTCTCAGCGATTACTCTCTTTTCTTTGATTTACTCCTAGGCAGTACAGACAAGGTTGGGTGGTGGTTCTTACTCTGCAGATAAATAAAGCTCAGGAATGTTAAGTGATTTGCCAAAATATTTCTGACACTATGTGGTAGATAAAGCCAGAATTTCAGATCCAGGAACTCAGTTGTGTTTCATTCAAAAATTGTGTTCTTTGCTCGGGTTCTTAAGCTTGGTTGTGTTTGAGAATCATCTAAGAAAAGCGTAGAAGCCTGTTCTCCTGAGGAGCAGTAGATCTTGAGGAGCTCCCCAAGTGTGTTTTAAAACCTCCAGGAGTGATTCTTGTGATCAGCACTTCTCAGACTTCCAAATACATGCAGATCACCTGGGGATCTTGTGAAAATGCAGGTTCTGGGTCAGTAGGTCTGGGCGGGGGCCTGAGGAGTTTGCATTTCTAATATGCTCCCTCCCCATGACTTGGTTGATGGTCAGGCACAGGCTATGATTAGCAGTGATCTATGCTGTGTGACATTTGATTTGTGATTTGAAACTTTTGGCAAGAATTCCTGTGAAGGCTAGAATTCATTCAGATTTCTATAACAGAGATTAAAACATACTTTAATAACCCTTACATCACTTTGGATTTTTGAATTTTTTTTTTCCTTCATACGAAAGAGTTGCAGGTTATGAAATGTTTACTTAAGCTTTAAATTATTCAACCATGGGGCTTTTAACCATATTCTAGTCATTGATTTTGGAAATAAGAGTCCAGGCAAAGTTTTGTTTGGAAGTGATCTTGCCAGATTTTTTTTTATAGTTAATGTGTTTTGCTTGGTTTTGATAGTTTGATGAAAAGTTTATACAAAAACTCAGCCTGCTAGCATCCATTTGTTAGTCACTTCCTGTGAGAAAACAAAAATATTCATTCCAGGGATTTTGTCCTAGTGTTTGAATATCTTAAAGGAAGTGTCAGTAAATCTGTATGGCGGAGAAAAAGGATTTTCACAGTTGCATGTTTGCCCCTTTTCAGGTTCCCCAGCACCACCACTGCCATCTGTTATGTCTCCTAGCAGGGTGGCAGCTAGTCGACTGGCTCAACAAGGAAGTGATCTAATTGTTCCTGCAGGTATTCACTGCACTGATTGGATAAAGCCCTTCCTGCTACTGCTGAAGCTAACTAACTCAGTTTCATAATCACTTGCTTTGTATTCTTAGGTGTGTGTTGTTCTGGCTTTTTTGGTGGCTGCTGCTGCTTTTCTTTTTGAACAATGAGGGAAATAATCTTTCTAGCCATAGCCTGTCTTTCTGGCCTTTTGGAATAATGAGGCCCTATCTCAAACCTGAAATCCATCTTACGGTGAAAACCTTGTAAACTTTGATTTGTTTTAAATCATCCCTTCTTTTCTCTGGGAAATGTAACTTCATTTACTTTTCCTTAAACTTCCAGCTTTGCAGCTCTGCCCTCTGTTTGCAGTTAAACAAAAAAGGAACCTTCAGCAGTTGAGTTGTTTATTATCGCAAATGGGTCAACTGGAAAAAGTTGTGTCGTCTTATTTTCAGCCTCAACTTATAGTTTGCAAATTGCAACAAAATACCATGTAATTTACGAGTTATTCTCAGTGAAAAATACTTGGGGGAAAAACCATCAATGTCTTTGCGTTGAATTTACTCTGCACTTCATTTTTGCTGGGCTATAAAAATGGGGGAAAATAAACTCCACATTTCTTTTTATGTGAAATGTTAGCATTTATATTTTGTGTCTGAGAATTTTTGAAATTCTTAAATGCATTTGATTTGATCATAGACTGCAGTGAAGCTGTGGCAATGGGTGCTCTGGCTACAGGAGTAAGTGAGGGAAGGGAGTTTTCCTGACTCCAGTTTTTTAAAATCATTTTTACAACTTTTTCACTTTTCCTTACGTCAGTTGTGTTTTTAAAATTATTAGAAGATTTCCATCCCAAATTATTAGCATCATAAACCATGTAGTAGTAGAGTTGGTTTATGTCATAAATTCTTAATTGTTGGAACAGTACATCATGAGAGCTTTATACTGCCTTTGTTAATTATGTCCTTTTTTTCCTTCTTTTTTAACTTTTTTCTTGTCTCTGGAGTAAAGAAGTTCAGTACAATGTAGGTCTTGTTTCAAACCAGCCTTTCATTCTGGTGGGGGTGTTGGGGTTTGAAATTTTTTTTTTCATATATAGTATTCCCCTCTTCATTATTTTCTTTCTAAACTTCTATTTGTTTATTTACTAGAGAGGCAGAGACTGACAGAGCTCCTATCTACTGGTTTACTTCCCAAATGTCCACTGGCACAGGCTGGGGCAGTGCTGGAGCTGGGAGCTTGGAACTCAGTCCAGGTCTCCCATGTGCATGGCAAGTACCCAGTTATTTAATCCATCACACACTGCCTCCCAGGGTGCATATTAACAGGAAGCTTCCTGCTAATGCACACCCTGTGAGGCGGTGTAAGTATGGCTCAAGAACTTGCGTCCCTGCCACCTGCATAGGAGACCAGGATTGAGTTCTGGGGTCTAGCCTCAGCCTGGCCCAGCAAGCATTTGGGGGGTGAGCCACCAGAGGGAAGATCTCTCTCTGCCTGTCTCTGTCTTTAATTATCTCTCAGCCTTTCAAAGAAATATTTTTCTTTTTAAAGAAAAAGAACAGGAGACTGATTGCAGTGGAAATTTTTTTAAAAAAGACAAACCACATGCCATTTTGTGTTGAATGGACAAAAATTTTTTGAAGTGATCAGGAACTTAGCCACAGTGATTCTAGGAATTTCTAGTTTTTCACTTTGTGGGAACCTGTTTCATTTTTTAAATACCTAAATAGTTTGAACAGCTTCAGTGTTTTCTTTTCCTATTTATCTGGTTTGTGTTTTTATCTTATGATCATGCAGGTGGTCAGAGAACACAGACAAAAAGTGGACCAGTTATTCTAGCAGATGAAATTAAAAATCCTGCCATGGAAAAGTTAGAACTTGTTCGAAAGTGGAGTCTAAACACTTACAAGGTTTGTAAATTTTAAATGCTCTAACCTATCTTTTCTATGTTATTACACTGCATTTCTGTGAATATATGGTAGAGGGTAATTCTGTGAATATATGGTGGAGGATAATGTAAATACATTTAGAAAATATTTATTGATCTTTACATATAATTTAAAGAGTTAGGGGCCAGCGCTGTGGCGTAGCTGGTAAAGCAGCCGCCTGCAGTGCCGGTATCCCATTTGGGCACCGGTTTGAGTTCTGGCTGCCCCACTTCTGATCCGGCTCTCTGCTATGGCCTGGGAAAGCAGTGGAAGATGTCCCAAGTCCTTGGGCCCCTGCACCCACGTGGGAGACCTGGAAGAAGCTCCTGGCTCCTGGCTCCTGGCTCCTGGCTTTAGATCGGTGCAGCTCTGGCTGTCGCAGACAGTTGGAGAGTGAACCAGCAGAGGGAAGACTCTCTCTCTCTGCCTCTCCTTCTCTCTCTGTGTAACACTGACTTTCAAATAAATCTTTAAAAAACAAAAGAGTCAGTACGGACGTATGAAGAAGCTACAGAAATGCTTATTAGCTGGCAGATAGTGTGCTGCCCGGGAATACATTTAGCCACAGGGCAGCTGTATCTGTATACTGTATTCTGCTTGGGGCCAGAATGTCTCAGCTTTCAGAACTTTGCAGATTTTGGAGTACTTGCATAGACTTTAACAATTGAGCATCATCCCTAATCTAAACATCCAAAATCCCAAATGCTCCAAACTCCAATAATTTTTGAACATCATGTTGGCACTCAAAATGTTGTGGATTTTGGGTTTTGACTGAGGGATTCCCAACTGTGTGTTTTTGATACTTATAGCAGCTGAAGGCCAAGAAAAATATATTCTCTTTAAATAGGAAATTCTCTCATCTTACTTTAATGACACCAAATTGCAAATTATTTGGGATCCAAAAGTTCATAAGAGTTCATTAACATTGTTATTTGCATTGCTTCAGAGTAACTGGTGGTTATTTTTCTAATGCTCTCTGAAAAACAAATAATCAAAATATTTAATCCTTACTGTATTTGATGTGTTATAAACAGCAGAAGCTCCACATTCACTTGGCATCTTTGAATCTGAACAGGGTCGAGGCAGTAGAGTTCGTGGAGTTGTTAAGTGCATCCGAGTCCTAGCAGTTCAGGTTAGAGCATTAACCACAACTCTGTATTTGTGGACTGGCTATGGGTCTAGTGTTTGGTAAATTAAAAATTGCCTGTTTGTTTGTTTGTTTGTTTGTTTGTTTTTATATAGAACAGGATTCTCATGGGTCTTTCCTAGAGCAATTAATATAGAATTTATTTTTTGGTTAATACTTTAAAAATACAATCTGAAAATCTGTACAAAGGTATGGATTTTCTGGGGCAGGTATTGTGGCCCAGCTGATTTTAAGTAGCCTCTTGGGAGCCTGCGGCCCATATCAGAGTGCTGATTCTAGTCCCAGCTGCTCTGCTTCCAGTCCTGCTGTCTGCTAATGTGTCTGGGAACAGCAGGTGATGGGTCGGGTACTTGAGTCCATGCTGCCCACGAGGGAGACCCGAGCTCCTGGTTTTAGCCTGGCCCAGCCCCAACCATTGTAGGCATCTGGGGAGTAAAGCCATGGATGGAAGAACTCTCTTCTCTGTATTTCTATCACTCTGCCTTTCAAATTACATACATACATAAATCTTTTATGTACTCATTTTTTCTTAGGATGGCAAATGTGTCGCTGTGAAAGAGACTTAGCTAATGTCAGTGTGGAATCTGAGAAGTGGCCGATGGTAGTCTTTAAAAGTATGAACTCATCGCCCCTTCTGTTCTCAAGGATGTGGACTCTCCCACTCCATGCGTTGTTTTGCCTTTGTACTCCTAGCAGTTCACCGTCTTCTTGCTGACATACTCAGTCAGTCATAAATCCTGTGAATTCTACTTCCTTAATATTGTTTCCCGTGCTCTCCTTTTCTCCGTCTCAGCTTTCACAGCCATAGTTTGTGTTATTCCTCTCACAGAGTACTGTGAGAGCTTCTCAGATTCTCGTAGAGTACATGTTCTGCTCTGCCTGACCTGATTCACTGTTGCCTCAAATCCTTCACGCTGTCTTTAGAATGCCATGCATCGGACCCCTGGCTGCCTTTCCAGCTGTAGCTCCCGCTGCTCTCTCCTATCTGTGGACCCAGTGAGCCATACAAAATCACCCCAGGATTTCCTAAACAATCTGTGGTTTCGCACATGGCCATGGCTTTGTTCAGGAGACTGTTTTGCCTGCAGTTTGGGATTTCCCTTCATTTCACTTGTTTGTCTCTTGTACTGAACCTGAACTTCATTCATTTATCTATTACATTTATTTATTCAGCCATTCCTTTGTTCGTTTACTCATGAAATTTGCCTCTCAATATTAGTATTCTAGGTCCACACATTTTGAACTTAAAAAAAAAAAAAGGCCTTACATCTGAACCAACTTCTAGTAATTACAAACCTAGTTCTTTAAGTTTTTGTTCATTTGAGACTTCCTCTTATGTCATTTAGATGGTGTTTTTCTTGTTCTTTTATCTGTTTGTTTCAGTATGTATGTTACTGTTTGTTCCTTTTCTTCCATGTCTTACCTCGACAATAATCTGTTGAGTCATACAGATTCTATATTTATCTAACATACCACATTCAGCCTTTTGTCATGTTCTTGTTAATAAAAATGATCATTTGGCCGGCACCGCGGCTCACTAGGCTAATCCTCCGCCTGCGGCGCCGGCACCCCAGGTTCTAGTCCCAGTTGGGGTGCCGGTTCTGTCCCGGTTGCTCCTCTTCCAGTCCAGCTCTCAATGTGGCCCAGGAGTGCAGTGGAGGATGGCCGAAGTGCTTGGACCCTTCACCCGCATGGGAGACCAGGAGGAAGCACCTGGCTCCTGGCTTTGGATTGGCGTGCCGGCTGCAGCACGCCGGCCAGTGGCCATGGGGGGGTGAACCAACGGAAAAGGAAGACCTTTCTCTCTCTCTCTCTCTCTCTCTCTCACTGTCTACTCTGCCTGTTAAAAAAAATAAAATAATCATTTTAAAAAATTTTATACACATGGTATATTATGTAAAGGAGGCATCATTTTCCTAAAAATGAACACTTTAAGTGAATTTTTTTATCAGAGCTTAATTTGGATATTTCAGTCTAAGTCAAAAGAGGAAAAGTCCTGACTTAACATGATTTCATGGATCTTTTAGCCCAGTGTGTCTAGGCTGACTTTCAACCAAAAGAAGCACAGTATGCAATGGCCTTAGTGGGTCTATGTAGCTTTTTTGTGCTCTTGCTTTTTTAATTTTTCAGCCCAAATTGTAGCTACTGTTGGGCATTGATTAGCATTTGCCTAATGCTTCAATGCTTACTCTGATTTGGTTGATTTAGGACAAGTCTTGTTATCTATATTACTCTTTTTTTTTTTTTTAAGCTTTTTTTATTTGTTTATTTGAAAGGCAGACTTACAGAGGGAGAGGGAGAGACAGAGAGAAAGAGATATTCCAACTGCAGGTTCACTCCTCAAATGGCCACAGCAGCAGGATCTGGACCAGTCTGAAGCCAAGAGCCAGAAGCTGCTTTCAGGTCTCCCATGTGTGTGCCAGGGCTCAAGCACTTGGGTCATCTTCTGCTACTTTCCCAGGCACATTAGCAGGAAGCTGGATTGGAAGTGGAGCAACTGGGACTCGAAACTGGAGCCTATCTGGGTTACTGGCATCGTAGGCAGTGGCTTTATCTGCTCCCTCACAATGCTGGCCCCTATCTGTATTACTCTTGAGTAACTTGATTCTGGCTATGACTTTGATCCTTCTTTCTTTCTATATTTAATTTCTTCTGTTTCTATTCTGTGGAAAATACTTTAAGGCTTTTCCTCAGAGTATTGAGTACTTCATTTATTGGTTCTTAATTTTGGCCCAAAGACCAATTTGGTGATTAAAACTAAATATATAATAGGAAATTTAGGCCTTGAACCCATCATTTTAAATATAATCTATCTGATTTATTCACAAATGTTAAATCCAAAATTGTACTAAACTCTGCTTTATTTATTCAGTCATTCTTTTCTCTTGGTCTGTTTTTGTGTTTTCATTAGTCTGTAATAGAGTTTTTTCAAAATCTGTTTCCCTTTTTCTTTTCTTAGAATAATCTTGATTTCACAATTCATAGATGTTTGACATCTTTCCCAAACATTATATGCTATTTAAAAATGTTTAAGAATTTGCTGTTAGCATTTACTCTCTTATCAAATTAACCTTCGTTGTCTTTAAGCCAGTTCTTTTATTTTTTTCTTGTTCTATTACTTTATTCATTTATTGGTTGACTTATTTCCCCTGTCCATTTTCCTTTTATGCTCCTTTCTTCTCCATATTTCACCTTAATAGCCCTTTTTTCTGTTTGTCAGTTGTTGCAGTGAATTTTTCCTTTTGCAGGTGCTTGAATGTCTTTATTCCTTTTCTGGCATTACTGTGTGGCTCGCATTGCTGTTTAAGTACTCAGAGTACACGAGGACTGTTGTGTCAGTTCTTGAGCCAGTTTGGTGATGACTTACTGTATTTGGAGCACTGTCACTTTATTTCATCCACCTTCCTCCAAACAGACCTACCTGGGTCAGTAATTCACTTTAGCTTCCTTCTGCCCTGTAGCTTCATTTGTCTTGTTATCATCAGAACAGTCTTCTTGATTTGTGTGAAAGCTAACGAGGACTCCTAGCTTATAAGTGATCTCCATTTTCAAGAACTTTGAGGAAGGGAAGAGAACTTAGATTCTCTTCTGTTGTAAGTTTACTTTGTAATACATACCAACCTTTAGTTTAATATTTTAACTTCAGTATATTTCAGAAATCCAGTAAAAATCTATTCTTCAGGGTTCTTGTTAGAAAATTCCTCTGGAACTCTAAGTGGACGGATGGCTAGCAACTCTGTATCTTCTCACTACCAGAAGTTCTTTACAAAGCTGGGGTAGACAATCTGTAGTTCTCTCACTTTCAAATTATTTATCTTCTCTATAGAGTATATAATATTACCTGTGTTACCATTCAAGCTCCTTTGTTTAAGTGTGGTTTCAAAACTTGTTTCAAGAGTCCAGGTGTATCATAATTTGCTTCACAATTAATATTACCTTATTCCCACTGTCTTAGCTTTTAGAAGCAAAAACATTTCCTCATTAAACCTTTGATCCTACTGCCTACTTGTTTTTTAAAAGGCAGATTTAGAGAGAGAGAGAGAGAGAGGTCTTGCATCCACTGGTTCACTCCCCAGATGACTGCAACAGTAGGGGCTGGGCCAGGCCAAAGCCAGGAGCCAGGAGCTTTCTCCAGGTCTCTCATGCGGGTGCAGGGGCCCAACCACTTGGGCTATCCTCTGCTGCTCTCAGACGCATCAGCAGGGATGCTGGACTGGAAGTGGAACAGCTGGACACAGCTGTTCCCTCTACAGCACCAGCACCTCCTGCTGCCTATCTAAACCACTGTTTCTGTGAGGGGAAAATGGCCACTCAGACAGCAGTACGCATTTCTTTCATTTTGCTCTGTTTACAATGTTTTCAGGGCATTTGGTTTCTTGACTTTGAGCAAACTATTATGAGGTTGTTGTGGAAGGTACCACATGACATTGGCTTGTGAATATAGTAAACATCTGTGGTGATATTCCAACAGGAAAATCCTAACGTGGAAGAAAAGTGTGGGAACAAGTGACCTTTCCTTTACCTTCCTACCATTTCAGACATTATTTCTTGCTGACATTTTTCTAATTAAAATCTCAGTGTTTCCAATTAAACTTTTCTTCTGTGATTTTCATCTCCCAGGAGTGTTTCTGTTTTCCAGAGTAATAATTTATCCCTCTTATGTGGTTTAGACCTCTCACCTGTCCTGCCATTTTCTATAGAGTTAAGAATGTCTGTTTTGGTTAAAAAATAAATACATAAAATTAAAAATTTTTAAAAAGGTTCATAAAGATCTTTAGTTGATGATACTAGAACTGAGTCAGGAAATTTGTTTGTTTTAAACAGAAAAACATGAACAGCAGGTTTATGGATATTGGCAAGGCAACATCTCGAGAGATTTTTTTCCTAGAAAAGAAGGGTTCAGGATTCAAGCTACGGCATCCAGCATAATATAATCTCATGTTTACTCTAAAACTGATTATGTGTTTTACATACTCTGGAATACCTGTCAGGCTAATAGTTTCCTTCCATAAACAGTTTGTGAGAGTAAAGGAAAGAAGAGGAAATTTATTTCATGCATTAATTTTTACAAGTTAATTCTGTAACCAAAGCTTTGAAAGATATTAGAGCAAGTTGTTTTTTTTTTTTTTTAAGATTTATTTTATTTATTTAAAAAACAGAGTTACAGAGAGAGGTAGAGACAGAAAGAAAGGTCTTCTATCCGCTGGTTCACTTCCCAGACGGCTGCAACAGCCAGAGCTGTGCTGATCCAAAGCCAGGAGCCAAGAGCTTCTTCCGGGTCTCCCATGTAGGTGTAGGGTCCCAAGGACTTGAGCCGTCTACTGCTTTCCCAGGCCATAGTAGAGAGCTGGATCAGAAGTAGAGCAGCCGGGACTAGAACTGGCGCCCATATGGGTTGCTGGCACTTCAGGCCAGGGCTTTAACCTGCTGCACCACATTGCCAGTCCCAGCAAGTTTTAAAAATTGCAGTAATTACTACCTTTTTAGGATACTTCTGATAGCTTTTAATGATGAGCAGTGTGTTTGTACCCTATACAGTTGCCCTTAAATTTATTATTGAGTAATGAAGTTGCTTATAATTTTTTGTAAGTTACTACATCATTATTTCTAGGATGGAAGAGAATAACAACATTTAATACTCACACGTTGGTATGTGGGAAAAAGTAAATGGAAAACTCAGAAATCTCTAATTTCTTTCCCCTACTCACTTCTCTTTCCTCCTCCTCTTTCCTTTCTTTTTACCCTTATTCCTCTGTCAGACACACAAGCCTTTTGGAAGGAAGATAGAAGAAAAAAGCACTTAGAACTACAACAGAGTAGAAATTTGATATTATTATTAAGCTATTGTCAAATATCTGTTGTTTTAAATAGTCTGTCCAAAATACATTAAGCTTAGGTGTGATTATTTGAGAGAGTCCACCTGGCAGTGTATAAGTCTTAAAATTTCCTCTGTTAATAGTTGTTAGACATGTTGGTGAACTTACTTTCTAAGTCCTGATGAACTCTTAACGATGCTAAGATTTTTCAGTTTGTATGAAGCTAGGAAATTATGTATGCCGTGTGCTCTACCATTTGTATTTTAGGTTGCTATGTATTTTTCTTTTGTTCTTTTTTCATTCTTAAACAAAGTGTATCTTTCTACTTTTAGTGCACTCGACAAATTATCTCTGAGAAGCTAGGCCGTGGCTCAAGAACTGTGGACCTTGAACTTGAAGCTCAGATTGATATATTAAGAGATAACAAGAAAAAATATGAAAATATTTTAAGACTGGCTCAGACATTGTCAACCCAGCTTTTCCAGATGGTACATACCCAAAGGCAACTGGGAGATGCATTCGCTGACCTGAGTTTGAAGTCGCTAGAACTTCATGTAAGATGATCCTAAATAACTGTTAGGGGCAGGGGAAATAGTCACAGAAGTATTCTAAGATACTTGTTGTATTTATGATTTACTGAACTCTCAATAAAATTAGAATTTTGAGACAGTAAGGCTCAACTGACTTCTCTTCAACATAGTGATCCAATTGTAATATAGAAAAAATGTCAGCTGAGGCTGGCTTCAGGAGAAGAGAACTTGGTTGGAGAGAAGGAAAAAGGACAGTATTGGCCCTGCCTGAATCTAAAAATAGCCATGGATGATTGTTTGGTATAGGGAAAAAGTAAACTAGGTACCTACTGGAAGTCTCTTCTAGTCTCCAAATGTGTTGAATAAATTGTAACTTGCTTAACTGGATTTGTGATCTACTTTAACTGAATTAATTTAAATTATGAATTTCAGACTTAAAGTTTGGCATATATCGCTGTAACTCTTTAGCAAAGCATTCTTTGCTTTTGTTTTTTGTTTTTAAAGACTTATTTATTTTGAAAGAGTTAGAGGGAGAGACAGTTTCTTCCGTCTGCTGGTTCACTCCTCAGATGGCTACCAGGCCAAAGCTGAGAGCCAGGAGCTTGATCCAGGTCTCCCACGTGGGTGGCAGCCATTTTTTGCTGCTTTTCACAGGGCATTAGTAGGGGGCTGGATCAGAAGTGGAGCAACTGGTACATGAGCCAACACTCAAATAGGATGCTGGCTTCATGGGCTGTCGCTTCACCTGCTGTGCCACAACGCCGGCTCCACAGAGCATTCTTAAGAATTTCTTTGGCTATCTTAACTGACCCCTTTTATGGATTATCTGTTCTGTATAGTTTGCTGCTGGAGCCAAGATGTATAGATAATTACTTGCCTACAGACTTCTAACTAGAAGAATTAGATAATTTAGAGAACTAAATCACTTTGTCCTTAGCTCTGGGTGTTGATACATATCCTAGTAAGATTTCAGTTCTATCTGGGCCGTTAGACAAAAACAACTAATCTAATATTGAGAAGCTAAATGTCATAATTGCACACAATTCAAATGTGCTGTGTGCTTTATATTCAGTATACCATGTGATTTATCTATACAATACCACAAGAAATATTATCCTGATTTTATAGATGAGAAAAGTAGGACCAGGAGAGAGGTTAGATAATTTTTAAAAGATCACAAAATAAATGCTAGAACATGAATTTGTACCCGAACATGAATTTGTACCCAGGCTTGTCTATGTCTTTTAATTATCTCTTGCTATCATGTTAAGTGTAATTTTCAGAGGATTTATGGCCCAGGGAAAAATCCCTGTGATATGGAAAGAGTACTCAGGATATGGGTGTGTTACAGCATTGTTATCAGTGATGTTATACCCATTAGTCCTGTTAATAATCACAGTTAACATTAGATTGGAGGCTCATTATGTGCCAGACTATTATAAATGGTTTATATTTTTATTACCTTTACTAACTATGTAAATCCTTCTTTTATAGAACTCTGAAAGATTATTCTTAAGAATTTAAGCCTGTTGTTTCCAGTTTTAATTTTTGTTATGATTTGAGCATTGCTAACTCTTTGTAAGGAGTGATATTTTGTGAAGTCTTCTAATGAAAAAATTTACTTTTTAAAATGAGAATAAAACTTTTGTCTTACAACTGCAATATGGGTCCATTGGATCTTTTTATAACTCAGAGATACCAGATGGAATCTTAATGATCATATTTTACTATGTCAGGATATTTTGCTATTTCATCACCTTAGGAATTATTTCATCATTACTCATTGGTTATTTCTAACCATGCTAAAAATGGCTACGATAATAAGAAAACAAGAGAATACTGGAATTGTCTAGAAGAATGAGTAAAGTGAAATAGTTTTTGTTTGCGTTGCCAAAAGGAAGACCAGCGAAAACACTGCTGGTAAACTTTTTTTAAAAAAATGTTCATGAAACATAATTGAGAACTTAGAATTTTTTCATTTTCTGCCTGTATGGCAAAGAGAAGACAAGGCCAGAAGAAGACAAGTCCACTGATTAAAATTCATCTCATCCAAAAAACACCTTCATGGGAACATCCAGAATGATATCTGACTGGGTACTGTGCCCCTGCCATATTGACCTATAAAATTAGCTATCACAAGTGTTTCTGTGTATTTAGTCATTCAGTATGAATGAGTCCATTGTGTAAAAGTTTTCTGCAAGAACCTGGACCATTTCATTTTGCTAAAAAAGAGATTTTATATTCAGGAAACTTTTATGATTTTTTAAAAAAGGTTTATTTATTTATTTATTTGAAAAGCAAAGTTACAGAGAGCCAGAGAGAGAGAGAGAGTCTTCCATCTGCTGGTTCATTCCCTATGTGGCCACAACGGCCAGAGCTGGGCTGACAGGAGCCAGGAGCCAGGAGCTTCTTCCCAGTCTCCTTCGCAGGTGCAGGGGCCCAAGCACTTGGGCCGTCTTCTACTGCTTTCCCAGGCCATTAGCAGGGAACTGGATTGGAAGTGGAGCATCTGGGACAAAAATCAGTGCCCTTTTGGGTTGCTGACATTGCAAGGGCGGTTCTACCTGCTATGATACAATACTGGCTCCAGACCGTACTTAATTTCTTTTTTTTTTTTTCATTTAAATTTGTTAGGTTTTTTTTTTAAAGATTTATTTTATTTATTTGAAAGACAGAGTTAGAGAGGTAGAGACAGAGAGAGAGGTCTTCCATCCGCTGGTTCACTCCCCAGATGCCTGCAATGGCCGGAGCTGCGCTGATCCAAAGCCAGGAGCTTCTTCTGGGTCTCCTACGTGGGTGCAGGGGCCCGAGGACTTGGGCCATCTTCTAGTGCTTTCCCAGGCCATAGCAGAAAGCCAAAGCAGAAAGAAAGAGGAGCAGCTGAGACTAGAATTTGTCGCTCCCCCTCTTCGTGGAGGAACGACACAGGACCCTGTGCTGTTCTTTTGTCTGCTCGGCCTTCCCCGGGTTTGTTGCTGGTTCTTCCCAGGTTGGCTACCGTCCCTTCCACCTCCGTGGAAGGGCGGTTCCCCCTGCCACCTTCCCCACTTCCACGGGGGAGCGGCACACCGCCGGCCGGCTCTCTCGGGGGCTGCTCAGGTGTTCCCCTTAGATGTTCCTGGTGCATGTTGTCTCTCTCCTCCTTTATAGTCCTCTTCCACCAATCCCAACTCTGCTACCCACACGCCGAGTACACTGCTCTCCTCCAATCAGGAGCAGGTCCTACAGTTTATTGGTTGAACTGGAGGCAGCTGTGTAGAAGCTGTTTCCTCCTCTCCCAGCGCCATATTGTGGGAGAGCAGATGCATAGAATAAGTCTTAATTCCAGTAACTTAGTCTAGTCTGAGTTGCTCCCAGTTGCTCCCCACAAGAACCAGCGCCCATATGGGATGCCAGTGCTTCAGGCCAGGGCATTAACCTGCTGCGCTACAGCGCCGGCCCCCATACTTAATTTCTAAAGAAAGACAACAACAAGTAATATTTTCACCTAAAATGCTATAGCTAGCCTGCATACAAAGAAAAACTCGTTCCCCAGAAAAACATGTAAAGTCTCTGGATGATGTTCATTTTTTTGCCTTGGTATCCTATAACTTAAATATTATGATGTAAAAAGTTAACAACGCTTCTGAGTGGGTGTGTAGCCACCTGATTCCCGTGTCAGTTTCTAACTGAACAGACTCCATGCTCCCAGTAATTCAGACCTTGGGAGGCAGCAGTCATGACTCAGATGACTGGGTTTCTGCAATCCACATGGGAGAACGGGGTACCGTTCCAGCTCCCAGTTTTGACCCTGGTCCAGCCTTGGACATTGGAGATATCTGGGGGAATGAACCAGCAGCTGATGGAGCTCTTTTTCTTTGCCTTTTTGGATAAATAAATAAAATCATAAGGAAGCTAATAATATTTAAATACTATGGTATAAATATTAATATATTTATATTACATAATAAGGGGATAAACAGGAAGAAAACAAAGATAACTGCTTTACACACACACACATGCACTCATAACCAAATAAAGGGGAAAATACTGATAGGAATTACAGTCCCCATTTCTGCAAATGGTCGTAGCTGGTATTATAGCTACACTCTTCCACCTATTCCATACTCCATTTGCCCTTAGCAAGTATCTCAGCCTGTCATGGTTCTTTCCTTGTCGGAGTAACCAGAGCATTCTTGAAGGGTCTGGGCTTTATAAAGTAGTCCTGCCTGAAATGGATTGTTAGTTTTCCATTGACACTCCTCACAGCATGATTATACTGAGAGACACTCCAAGGAATCTTCTGTATTTCTGATATACTCTTTTTTAAGCTCTGTTGTAGAATAGCAGTATAGTTTCTCCTTGGTCATCAGCTCAGTCATGCCAACCAGCAAAGTCACTCTCTTCATTGCCTGTTGATTGAGAGGCACAAGGAGCCCACAGTATGGAGTGGCAGCCTCATCCTCCAGTTCAGTGGAATCATAGTCCCGTCTCTTGATAGAAGCATTCCTCCCTTTGGCAGTGAAATCTCTGGACTAGCAGAGAACAGGGTCATAGGGACAGGAAGCAGGAATTCTGGCAGAGGCTCGCTAGAGGTAATAGTAAGCAATTCCACTCCCGTTTCCTTTCCTTGATTCCTGAACCCATGAGCCCTGGCAGTGGGACATGGTAGCATCACAGAAGAGGCCCTTCCACTGTTGCATCAGGACAGCTGCTTCAGGACGATGGGGACATGGCCCAACCAGTGACTTCCTTGAGCCTGGGCCTGTTGCTGGCAGTTCATTCGCTTTGAAGTGGGTTTCTGGATTGGAAGCAGTGCCGTGAGGAGTTGCTGTGCTGGCAGATAGGCATTCTGTAAGTCCACGGATAGTGATCGTGGCAGAGGCATTATATCCTGCACACGTCTTCCAGGTTTTTTTTTTTTTTTTTAAGTAACAATTTTATTAAGATATAATTCACATATCGTAAGGTTCAACCTTGTAAAGTTTATGATTCAGATAATAGGCATTCATAAAAGATCTCCCTTTAGGAGATTTTTCTCTTTT